GTACCAGAGTTCAACATGCTTATGATTAGAAGGCCTTATGATTTATGCTTGCTAGTTAAATATGCTTATGATTTAAACTTATTTTCTCTGGCAAGAAATAAGCTAGTCAGCACCATAGCCTAGCCAGATGATAGGAAATAAATACATATTTCAATGATATACATTTTAACTTGCTGAGCCTCGTAAATGCTACTGTTTTCTTTTCTTCCTATAACAAAAGATCTATCTTTCCGTAGGATTCCAGAGTTTTTTTTTTCTTTAACACAGTACATTCATTAGTGAACACAGTTAAAAGTTCTTTAATAGCCGTTACTACACTAAAAGAATCACTGGTGTTAGTCTCGAAAACACTGTAGCTTAGGTGGGAAGACAGAGCCTATGCTTATAAAACAACCAAGAACAAAGTGCATTAATAACCACCAGATGATAAAGTACACGCAGATTACACAGTAATCAGACTCAAACATGAGAGGGAGATATCATGAAATCTTAAAGCCTTCAGAGTGTTATGCCCTGCCCCTCAAAGATTTCATTAAATTCACTGTGTTAAAATTAACTGGGCATCACATACATAACCTTGAATTGCTTGCTTCTACAGTGAGAGATAGGAAAGTCTACATATGAATGGGAGAAATAACAGTTGGCTGGTATTTTTTGTTTGTTTTTAAAGGGATATATTAGACTGTCAGAAAGGAAGAGTAAAATTCACTTTACTTGGGCTAAATGGGGGACAACTGAATCTTATAGGCAAATTGGAGGACAAAACGGAAACAAGAGTAATTGAGTTATTCTAAAATGAAACCATTCTTACGAAAGAGCACAGAAAAAGAATTGAAATACATAAAGTGTGTTTTCTAAAAGACCAAGATGAGCCCCGTCACCAAATATGTTCAATAGGGGAGTACAAGAAATAAAAAGAGCTGCTTCCAGTCAGAGTACCATAGACAACCTACTAAGTGTCAGGCACACGCTAGGAGGAGTTGGATAGAAAGTTTCACTATGTGCCAGATAAACAGGGTTATGACAATCACCACACATATACTTGGAATCTAACTAAGATGAAGCAATGTGGTTAACAAAACTGCATGACATTTTAAGCTTGAGAGAGGAGAATGACATTTCTATACTACAGGACCCAAATACAGAGTGAGATTTAGTGGCAACAGGTTAGAGAAAATCTCAACATAAAGTTCTACAAACTAATAAACATTTAAAACAAACCCGACCAAGTTATAACTTGAAAAAGGAAGGAGTACAAATTCATAGCAATATCGTCTCAAATGAGAAAACTGCAAGAACTTTTGCATGGAAAGTCTAAACATTTGCACTAAACACATAAATCACTACATTTTCAAGTAAGAAAAGGTCAGTCTCATCTTACCTTATTGCTGTAAAATGCTGGAATAAAAATTACTGACTTATAGAAGCAACTTTCACATGTATCTGAACATCAAACACAACACACAATATAAAATCAAAAATAACTAGAACAGAAAAGTTTTCAGTCTGACCTTAAAAATACTGAGCAAATCACTAGATGAAGCCAGATCAAAAGGAAGGGCATTACACCAGCTTGTAGCCAGATGTGGAAGGGCCCCAAATGCACAGGGCACAGATGGTATACAGTGGGGAGGAGGGGGCACAAGCATATCCAAAACATAAGGCAAATAAACCTGCTTCAACTTACACAGGTAAGACAGTCTGAAAGAATGAATAATTTTGACTGCAACTGATAAGATTTTCAATTTGAGACGAATGGTACTGGATGTACATGCTAAAGTGTGCTTACTGGTTTAAGCTCTGAAATACTTTTGTGTAGTAATTTAAATGGAACTAAAACATCCGTGAGGATACATGCAAAGGGATGGTGACTTGTTATTAAAAGATTACTAAGAAGATAGTTTAACTTTTTAATAAAACCATACAGTGGATGTAAGCCATATTATTTGATTAAGTTCTGAGAGATCTGGGGGGAATTTAATGTATGCTCACAAAGTTAATAGCTCTATTTGAAAACAGAAACCCTATAAGTTTATTAAAATGCTCAAAGTCCTTTAATATTCCCCATTCATCATATAATGTAAAGTGCTAAAATTAAAAATTTCACCTTCTGAAATCTTCGTATGTAAAAAGACCAGAGGTACCATTAATTTTCTATAGAAAACTCAGAAACGCTCATATTTACTTCATGCTCCGCTGTCTAACGCAAAGTGGCCAGTTTAATAAATCTCAAACACTTGTTCCAAAATAAAAGTTTAAGAAAAATTCTCTGACTTCAACATTAGAAGTTGAAATTTTCATAAATAAATCTTGCATTTAGTTAAATGAGTTGATGATCTTTTTCAGGCAACAACCAAAATAAAACATTTAACACAGATTCCTTCAACCCCATGATTTCTGAAGGACACAGGAGCATAGAATATCCAAAAGGCTATTTTATTGGATATTCTAATAAGGTACATTCAACACACACATATACAATGGGACTCTAAATTTTAGTAGCAATGATGAACAAAAAAATATTGACTTCACAATGACTTTTGCTTATCATTCACATGATTTAGGGAATACTTATTTGATTTTTTTGACACTTCTATGCATTAAAGAAACCCTCCAGTTTAGTAACAGCTCTGCTAACCTATGTCTAAGAGTGACAATTAATTTTAGTGCAAATTCATTCACAGACTACTTTGATAGTCATTTGAATGGTTTTGCGTTATTTTACATGCAATTTTATAGCTCTGTAATGTTCATTTAATCTTTGTTCAATGATGCTGAACCCCAGATGCCATAAGACATTATAGAAAAGCAGTTACCACACATAGGGAGTAACTACTTTTTCTGAACATTAATTTCTTTTTTCTTAACAGGCTGAAATGGTATTTAGAAAAGAGAAAAGCCACCACGCTGTATTAAAGGTTTTTTATGATGGACTTGCGGAGAGGGGCTACCTATTATGCTGTAGTCCTCGCCATAAAGTTCTTATTTACCAGCATCATCTTCTCAAGTCTTAGTGGTAACGGCTTTCTCCAGCCTTCCTGGAGTTGTTGGGATTATACATTCGAATCAGGTCATCTGAGAGGGCTTGGGAGGTGGGAGGCTTTCCTTATTTGTCATAGTGGGGGGTTGGCTATAATCAGGGGTTCTCAAAGTGAGATCTGAAGGACATCTGCATTAGAATCACTGGGCACTTGCTAAGAAGGCAGGTATCTAGGCCTTCCAGACCTACTGAAATCAGAATCTCTAGGATTGGAGTCAAGAAATCTGCATATTAAGTAAACACCCCAGTGATTCCTCTGCATGCTCAGGGGTGAGAAGCACTGGTAGATGATCTCAAAGGTCCTTTCCATTCTAAAATTCTAAGAGTCTGAGTTTTCTTTTAAAAAATGGAGTCATGTCAGCAAGACGAAAATATCTCTACAACACAAGATAGTGACTTTTAGCCTCAATGGGTTAACCTACATAAGAAGTGTTTCCAGATTTTGATGCCTATGTAAAAACAGAAAATGAGACAGAACAGTATCATCAGATGTGTAAGGAATCTATTGGGGCTTTTTCCCTTGTGAGAGAAGTAGAAGAAGAACCCATTCTAACTGATATCCAGGAGCATAGGTTCAAAGGGTTTTTCACTGCACCTCTGTTCCTATCTTGTTCCTCTTCACCTTCTGACTCCTCTCAGCTGCTGAGGCAATTATCCTGGCTTGCACAATCCTGTGTCACCAAACTCTTAAGTAATTTTGAATTGGTCTGCATCGATTCTTTTAAGAAATAAACTACCCACAGGCAGTCCTCTACTTGCATTTGTATTGAGTGAGACCTTACAGAACATACACCATAGGAAAGGTAAATCATAGACTTACATTTTTAAAGGGGAGTTCCATATTTAGAAAGCTAAAAAAAAACCCAAACCCTAATTTTACTTCTCCCTTTGGGCACAATATTTGATGGAATATTTCTGGTATTTCATGTTAGTTTATTTCATTCTTTTTCTTCATAACTGCTTCTAGGCTCAATGAGAGCCTAAGATTTGAGATTTTTTAAGCACATCTGGGGAGTTCTACCTTTGACACACTTTTATTAGGTATAGGAGAGCTAAATTTCTATTGGTAGTATATCATCAAATTTTTATAAAACCGTAAAAGCAAAATGCAGTAGAATCTTAAAATAATTACAAAAACATAGCTGGATAAATTATGCTGCTGAGCCAGAACCGTCGGCTGGAAGGCAGCGCCACCATGTGATCGCTCCAAATGTTGTCAGTTTTGTGTAAGTACGAAAGTTGGGATCCTCTAAGAGTTGAGCATCTTATAGCAAAGGCCCAACTCCTATAATAATAAGGTTATTTTCAAACACCTAACTGTAACACTGCTTCAGTCACTGGGAATGAGAGGGAGAAAATGAGAGCTGTTTATAATGAGGACATCTGATTATGTATAGGCCTATCAATGGCCAGGCTGGATCACTTATGTAGTACTTGATCAGGGTGACGTGTTTTGGAGTTAGGTTGACAGACTTGGAGTGTTCTTGGTTTAAGGAAGCCTGGATTGGGATGTAGCCTGCAGACTTCAATGTCCAGCTCTGTTGCTCGCCAGCCCCATGTCCTTCCACAACAGACAGGTCTGGTCAAGGCACTGGCCCTGTCGGTAGATTGGACATTGCGTCTAATGGACCTAATTATACCCAGAGTTTCTTTCAACTATAAAGTCTTGTGACTGTGTGTATGATACAGACGTGAGCTAAATTCAAGAAGAGAGTTGAGAAGGTTAGAGTCAAACTCACTTAAAGTTTGCTAGAGTTGTGTTTTTCTTTTCATGGTTTTTCTCCATCGACTGTACCATGAATTTAATATCAACATTATATTAAATGTGTATATTTGCTGTAAACTACACCCTCATTTCAGAAATGTGGAAAAGTGGGGGAGAGGAGGAAATTTTTAATTGGAGTCAGTCAGTACTTCAGAAAGTGTTTAACGAAAATTGAAATCTAGACAAGTTACTTTAAATGGATATTATTCGTCCTTATTTAAGGGGTGTGACTTTCCCGATGTAAGCAAGCACTTGAGGTTTGACAACCCAGGGAATAATAGGAGGCGAGAAAGCATGCTGGTTTCCATGACAGTCGATGGCTCTGCATCACAGACCCCAGGAATGACAAAGACAAGAAAGTGAGCTCTCGGGCTTCTGTATGGCTCTTTGTGGAGAGCACAGGCTACGTCTGCAAGGACTTGGTTGAAAAAACCCAGATTCTAGTATAAGTTCCCACTTTCCCCAGCTTGGCCAAGATGGGTACACTGCCCTGACACAAAAGTCACATGCTCCACAAAATATTTCCTTGTATCTCGAAAGAGTATTAGCTTCTTTAATCCAAGGAGGTAATGAGAGGTTTTTAAAGTGATTAAATCAGCTTAGTTCACACAACGTCTCTTACAAACTAAATATTCAATTAAAACAATTTCCAAAGCAAAATCTGACAAAATCCTCTCAAAGTAACTTAGATGATAGGTTCTTAACCTAGGCAAATTAAATCCTTCTCATAGTTGGTATTTTCCACAAGGTCATAATAGTTGCACAAGTACTCTGGGACAAAAATCTACTTGTGTGTTAAGCCATGTTTTGTGATCATAAGCAATAGAAACTAGAAAACATGAATGTGAGCCTAACAGTCCTATTTATTTTATTTATTTTTTTTACTTCAAAGGCTACATACATGCAAAAGTTGAACATGTCATCACAATGCTTTAAATAAAATCCAAAAATAAAAATACTTCAAAATCCATTTACTTATGGAAATATATATGACAATTATAATGAAGATAAGTCAATTATATCCTTTTTCTAATCTATCAGAAAAATACTTATATTATAAAAAAGAATTTTAATTCATGTCCAGAATAATTTTTTTAAATCCTTGATGAATAATTTAAAAACAAGTTGGATGTTAGTACAATGTTTAGAGAAACAAGTCCCAGGCTTTTGAAAAATGGGTCGGAAATCCTTACACCTCATTTTGAAATCACTGAAAAAACTCAAGTTTAGAAACAAAGCATTTTTTTAAAACTATGATCATTGTTCTTGTGATTGATGTGGTTAGTAATGAAGTGAAGGGCACAACTTTTATAAATAGATATTGTTGAAAGTCCTTTAAAATGTGGAGAATTTTATTTACAAACACATGTTGGAAGCTTGAAGTAACCCCACCTTTCTCTGCTGGTCAATACTGCAAGAGGAATTAAAAATCCTGAGTACAATGAAGTTCTGAGAGCTTGGCCCTTCTTCAAAACATATAAGCATGCGCTAGCTCCCCTTACTCCAAAAAAAGCCAGCAGGAGGGAGCATCTTCAAACGGGCGGCCCTGCCCCTTTTCAGGTAAAAGCAGGAGGAGGCTTGGCAGAGTCCAGAGAAGGCAATCAGCACATTTTGAGCGAGTCTCAGTGTTCCAGAAGGTGGCCATTTCCTTCCACTAAAACCAGTATTTCTTTCCATATAAATACAATATATATCAACAATTCCAAAAATTAATATGAACAGAATGTACTCAAAGTTCGACTTTTTGAATGTTCACATTCATCCAGGAAATGAGATTTAACTTCCTGCTCCTAAATGAGAAAAGGAGGGGAGAGCCACCCAGGCTGGAGGACTACTTACTGATCATTGGAAACAACGTACAACATGAGCAGGAAAAGGGGCTCATTTAACAACACGTGTTCGAATTGATTTGGAAAGTCCTAAGTGGATGGTACACACACCCAAAATTTGGTAGAAGCTTAACAAACAATTAAAACATCACCTCCTCTTTAAATCAGAAATATAAGGTTTCCTATTGGGAGAAATTCTTTGCTACCACTCTAAGCCTTCCTTTGAAATGGCCAAATTGAAATTCTGGTTAGAAATATTTCCACAGAGGGTCTGAAGACCTAGAGTTTGATTTATATCCTGACACTCTACTGTGATTATAGTTTTTATGTTAGGCAACCCAACTATTATTTTCCTTTCATTGCAAAAAAAAAAAAAAGTCTTAAATAGGAAAAATAAAAGATGTGTGTGCTGTCAGTGCAAAATCAGATTAAGTATGGTTTTTCTTTTCCCTGGGACAGAAAAAAAAAAATGCCCAGTGCATAGTATGTAGGAATGTGTCACAACAAATAATCAAAAGACAGGTTTCACCAAGCTAGTATTCCTCTGAGTACAGTGTGGTTTTCAAAAGCAGTATTGTCATGAGTATGCATATTCTCATTAACTAGGTACAGCAGAGCTACTTAAAGGGAAACCGATTTCTTGTGCCTCAATGAAAGGGGAGTGTAGAAAACAATAATTAGACTGAATAAGGAATTTAAAAGGGCAAAAAAAAAAATTGGAGTGAATAGAACAGAGAATTTAGAAAGCCAAAAAAAAGCAAATAATGTGACGGTAGAAACCCACACAATCTCCCCCCACCCCACCTGTCACTTTGAATCCTAATTGCTCAATCTGCAAGGACAGAAACCCACTCTAAAATGACCAGCATCGGGCTTCGGCAAGTCTTCTCTTCACTCTCCCTCCTGTTAAGACCGTTTCCAAAACCAATCAGCAAAGGACAAAGAATTCTTTACAGAGTGCAATTAGTGTTTTCCACGTCCACCTTCAAAAGCATGATGCTCTTCATGGGCTAAAGGACAGAAAAAAACAAAAAAGAAAAAAAGGAAAGAAAACTTTAAGCAAAGGATGGGGCAACCCTTCTCTAAGGCATCTCATTCAGTTTCCCCAAATGTTGGCAAGAACTCAAATACCTTTTTGTGCCAGTAACTGTTAGCTAAGGCGTGCATTTCCTGAGAAACGTAATAATGAAAATTAAAACAAGGAATAAACAAGCAATGGGCATGCTGCCTGTTTCTTCTTGCTGTGCCAGAGAGGATGAGTAATCCTGACAAGCTGATGAAGAGGATATGTTGGGCTGCAAGCAGATGCTGTAGGGGAAGATGCGTCCCGCAGAACGCACAGGGTGGGGACCTGAGGTTACCCAGGACAGGCCCATTCATAAGCCTATCTTTAAAAATAAAATAAAACAAAAATAAAACAAAACAAAGAAGAACACAAGGGCAGTAGCAATTCTATTATGTTCCCCCCACCTCTGAACACCCTCTGTGGGAAATGACATTTCATTAAATTGATGGGTCTTTTATTTTTCCCAATCATGGGTTGTTTTTTCTTTTTTTTTTCAGCCCTCCTGTCTAGCTTGCAAATGACTAATTACAATTAGGAACTCAAGAATAAAAGATTACACTACCAAAAATATTTTCCAAAGAATTGAAATTTTATCAAGTGGAAGTGGGAAATGGGAGACCTAGGAAACACATAACGTTTCCTCCCAGGCAAAAGGCCAAGTTTGAAAATCCACTGCCTGGACTTGGTCAACCGTCATCACGAAGCAAGGGCACATCAAGTGGAAAAGTCGCTGTGGCTTGGGACTGATAAAGCCAAGGGTGACTCAGGACCCCCTATGCTTTGTGCCCCCATACCCTACCCCCATGGGCAGTGCAGGATATCCTAGGAAGGCACCAATGACCTGGCCCATTTCACCTGTTAAGCCCCTCCCAATTCTCTGTTTTTAATATAGACTAAATTCGTCAGACTACTGTGGGGTAGGCGGAGGGGAACAGGACCATTTTCCCTTCAGGATCATCCTGGATGTCACCTCAACCTGCTTGTCACTTGGATAAATGGTGGGAGAAGTACACTTTATAGCTCCCAGGGTAACCTCGCGTTGGCTCAATTCCTAAGAGTGGCTTGTAATCCGAACTGATTTCACTGAACGTTTCTTTCTTTTTTTTTTTTGGTGAGGAAGACCAGCCCTGAGCTAACATCCGATGCCAATCTTCCTCTTTTTGTTGAGGAATATTGGCCCTGAGCTAACATCCGTGCCCATCTTCCTCCACTATATGGGACGCCGCCGCAGCATGGCTCGACAAGTGGTTCCGAACTGGCGAACCCTGGGCCACCGCAGTGGAGTGTGCACACTTAACCAGTTGCGCCACCAGGCTGGCTGGCCCTCACTGAACATTTCTTACATGTAGAATTTCACAAATATTTTACTTTGTATGTTTTATTTTTTCTTTTTAGGAAAGACTTTTAGGACAGACACCAAAGAAAACATGGTCTGCCCTGCAATAAAATATGAAGTGCTGCTGGGTCAAGTGGAGGAGACACAGACCTCTCGGTGATGCTGGGCTCCAAATCATAAATCAAGAGATACGGACTGTCCAAGGATTTCTATTACTTCTAAGTGCGAGGGACAGTCTGAGGTGGTCATAGTTGAGACACTGAAATACTGCCATTTTCATGGGTTATGGAGATAGGAGAACAGAACACTCAGAATGGGGAAAGTTCTGGGGAACAAAGGAAGCTCTGTCAGCCTTACGTTAGCCTTGGTAGAAAGGGTATAGAGAAATGCTTGAAGCCAGGAGTCAGCAAACTTTTCTGGAAAGGGGCAGAGAATAAATACTTCAGGCTTTGTGGACCATAGGATCTCTGTCCCATCTATTAACTCTTGCCTTTGTGACACTAAAGCAGCCAGAGATGATATGTACACAAATGGGCTTTGCCAGGTACCAGTACACTTTATATATATATGGACACTGAAATTTGAATTTCATACAGTTTTCAAGCGTTACGAAATGTAGTTTTTCTTTTGATTTTTTCCAAAATTTAAAAATGTGAAAACGATTCTCAGCTGTAGCCCATACAAAAGTAGGTGGGGAGGGGGCAGATGTGGCTTGAGGTTTGTAGTTTGCCAACCTTTGCTCTAAACAATTCTCACATCAGAAAAGACATTTGTCATTCAGCTGCTCTGAAGAAACTAAAAGAATTTGCAGGGAGGGGTCTCTGTACATTGTGAGTTTCTCAGTCAAGTAACCAATCTGAATTCAAACCATCCATAACTTATCAACAGCCTAATCCTCATCCACTCTGCTGGAGGCCTTCACAGAATAGTCGAGGGCTGCCTACATGGAAAATGTGCCCTGTCACCTGGCTCCAGCACCTTGTGAATACTTACACCAGGATCCTATTAAAAAGACAGAGTGATAGCATGGAGTTGGCCATTTCTAACTTAGCTCACCGCACAACTGTTCCCATCATGCTGGGAATAAGATTTCTGCCCAAAACTCATTTTTCCAAATCAATTTTGCAGCATGTGGTGTATAACCCTACTGAGTAAAGGACTGCCTGCTTTCTGTGAAATAAAGAGAACTGCTTTTTTTTCTAATTCAATTTTTATTTGAATCATCTTTGAGTTTTTAAATGTTAATTTATGCCATTAAAATATGGATTTCTACTGAGACCAGTAGCCAGTTCTGCATTACTCACAAACTTCACAGTGGCATCTATCTTTAGGATGTCTACTCAGCTTGATTCAACTGGCCAAGCTGCATCGTCCCCCCTTTGTTTGTTTTTCCTTCCCCCCAGCCATCACAACAGCTAAGCAGTGACTCCTTCTGGTTCAGTCTTACCTGATTATTGCCACTGCTCTAAAAACTAGCCTAACCTTTTTTGGCCTAATTATCTAATGAAACACTCATATCATCTTAACCTGATGCTAACGAGCGTGTTACCTGGAAATTTAATCATAGAATTTTGAAGTAGAAGGGACCTTGGAGATCATTTAAGACCAACCACCTCGATATTTACATGAGAAAGTGAAAGGATGAGAAGTTGTGACTTCCTCGAGGTCACACTGTTGAAGTGGGACAAAAAGCCAGAGTGCCTGACTTAATGATTCCAAATTGCTTTTCTCCTCTTTTGAGTCAAATGTGGAGCTGGTTCAAAGGCGGAAAGAATGTTTTAGCCCCGTTCATAAATGGCAATGAAACACACTTCCTTCCAGAAGCAGAGTTTCTGCTGGGGTTAGTCTTGTGGCATGGAAAAAGGAAAAGACCCTTGGTGACCTTTCAGTTACTATCTGGGTTGAAAATACAAGTAATGTTCCCTAAGGAATGCAAATTGCATCTACAAATTGCAATTTCCACACTGCACAGCCAATAAGCGACTTCTGCAGTGCCATCTTTCCGTCTCTTTTATTGAAACTTTGATTTACAATTCAGAAGCTAAGCACCTCCTGAATACCTGCAGCACCTGATCGGTTCCACTGCTTAAAATCTAAATCATTCGGCCTGTGATTATATGATTCCTTAGAGGGAGGTCTTGCTTTTAACATCCTCTATCATACTAAGACAATCATGAAAAAAAATTCGATTTGTTCTCCTTTTTGGTAAAGGGTTGGGAAAAGCGAAACAATAATGAAGTGTATTTCAGCAATTCTAAGATGCATTCCCCCACTCCCCATGCCATGTTTGAAGACCCCTAGAATCAATAATGTGTCATGGTTTAATTGGAAGCCTTTTATTTTTCTTTCTTAGTAATACTAAAATAATACTTATCATCAAAGGCATCTTAGATTCAATGAAATACAGTAGTTAAAAAAATTGGGTTACTGACTCTTGGAACAGTTTGGGAAATAGGAAATTTATCATATACGTGTAAGGCTGTCAATGCTTTTCTCTAACTCATTGTTAAAAGTGTAACCCACAGTTTGATCTACCAAACATTGGTTTAATAGCACTAAGCTGTTTTCATTATGAAAAAGATGACTTTTTCAAAAGAGCACACAAAAGCAATGAACATGAATCATGATGGAAACAATGGGTCCACACACCTATTCATACTGCTAACATTTCACCACTAGGCGTGAATTCTCCTTCGGTTCTGTGTCACAGTCTCCCATAATGAGGAAGTATTAGCATTTCAGTAGAACATTCAATCATTCCAGCGCTCAGAACGCATTCCTCCACAAACTCAGATGTTACACATTATAAACTCCTGTTTATGAAGGGAAGATTGAATATCTACCTGCCAGCTCATATAATAACATTTTTGTTATTGTTGCTTCAAATAGAAGGTAATTTTTTCTGAGAATGACAAATGTAAGATCAGGTTTAAATTTTTGAAATAACAAATACATTATGTATCTCCTTTTCTGATCCATGCATTTAGGTGAAAATAAAATCTCATTTTAATTTCTGAGACTAAACTTGTTTTTTTAAAACAAGTGAATGTATCTTATTATTTTCTGGATTATAGAATTTCAAGTGATTCTGCCTTCACCTCATTTGCAACACAGTTTCTATCTTGAAAAGTATGATAGAATAAGCTAGAAAGTAATAATCCAAAATGAAGCACTTACGTTTATAAAATACTGCTTTAAAAGATATGTGGGGCAGAAGTTCATAGATCTTTTCTAAAACGGTCGCTTCACCCACTAAAGAGGCATTGACATTCCAGACTTGGACGACATCTTCTCGGTCCCGAACGCTGACACTAACTCCTATGACTTCGTCATCTGAGGGGAAGGTATGGAAAAAAGAAATAAGTGATAATTTCAAGTCTGCCTGCGTTGTTTTTAAGCACTTATCATTCTATCTGTAAGTTATGGATAAGATGATAAAAAGAAGGTGGCAAGAGAAAACCCGTAATAAATACTGTTTCTAAGGGGAATTGTTGGACGAAAGCAAGTTAGCAGGCAAAAGCTCTAGCAGTCACATCGCATTTATCCAGGGACTTAGATAAACACAGTGTTCCAGCCAAACAATTTTCCAGATAAATAATTTACCCTTTTTAACATGTTACCAAAGCTTTTTGACTATTTCTTACTCTGTTTTGATGAGACTTTTTCTAAAATGAGTTGCATAATACTTTGCCCTCGAAAGCCAAGTGAACTCAAATGAACTTTTCCTCGATGCTTGACTGTCTTTCTTAAGAACAGCAAGTATTTCTCCTGACCTCTGGCCAAGCGTTCAGGGATCTTGGGGTGGTTAGCGCTATTTGCCCCAACACTAACTGGCCCCAGACTGTGTGTTCTGAGTTGCTCTTTCTGCTTTTTGTGGTTTGCTCGTCTGCTCCTTTCCTATTAATTTTTCCTGCTCTCTAGTGCTTCTCTTTAGCCATCCTGCTGCTGGTTTTGGACTTTTTAACTGTGGGCTAGAGAATGAATGACCATCTGTTAGCACTGTGTATAAAGCAAGAGTAAATATCTCCTGAGAGTGGCTCTGCTATTGCAGTATTTCAGTGAACGGACATGAAAGCATTTATCTACACTGATTAATGGAGGTCTTTTTCTTTTTTTAAACTAAATTCTGGATGTGAGGCTGCCTTGTAGATATTTGAGAATGGCAGCTGGATAAGTAAGGTTTTGTTGTACTATTATATACTCCCTTGCAGCCACTTTGTGTACATTAATTTACAGCAAAATGATAGGAGTAAAGACTTTTGATTCCTGGTTTACATGTCTATGACATATTAATGAAACAGGGTCAGCTCTCTGCACTTGCTTATTCAGCATCAATAAGTAAAACGAGAAAGGTAAGCATTATCAAAATTAGAAAATTTTGCTTTAGTTAACATGCTTTGCCTAATTTGCCTAATATTCTGTAAATCTGTAAATCTAAATATTTATGCCATCAGTTTTTCCAATTGACTTCTGGACATTACAACATTCTAGTACTTGGATACAATTTAAATAAGGATATGTCCAATTTACTAAAGGAGTTCATCACCAGTAAAATAATTCCTTCTGTTCACCCTATCCCCCTGTCACCCGCACTCTTCCTTCTTTCCTTTTTAAAAATGAATTTGATCCTTGCTAAATGTGTATGACTTGACACTAAATGATTCCATTTATATAAATGTTTGAAAGCAGCAAAAATTAGCCTACAGTGTTGGAAGTTAGGTTGGTGGCCCCCTTTGGGGGAAGGGATGACAAGGAGGGAAGGATTCGGGGGGGCCAGTAATATTCTGCTCCTTGATCTGGATGCTCATTACAGGCATCTGTTTACTTTGTGAATATTTATCAATCTATACACATTATAGTTTTGTGTACTTTTCTGTATATATGTCACATTTATACAAGAATTTTCAAAGAAATAAATAGTACCTGATCACGGCCATCCACAGGAACTTATTATCCCATCAAGAAATCTGTTTTATGTATAGGTTTCTTATTCTTTAATTTAAACCTTTAAAATCTACTTACTAGAGCTTAATGTTAAATTTTGTGTGAACATAAAATCAAGTTGGGAGGGAAGCTTTGCAGTTTGCCACTTTCAAGAATGGCCATGAAGTCCCTAGATCAGCCTTTGGGGGAAGTAACAGCCTTCTTCAGTCTTTTGGTATTGCCCATTTCTACACTGTTGGTCAGGGGGTGCTATAATTGATGGCTGCTAAATATGCTGAACTATCAGTATTTCAGTTTGGCTTGGCTTTTGGTAACTAGGTGTAGCCTACTGCACTGCACTTTCAGAAACAGCATGGTAAAAGGGCTGCAGCTCTTTGACAAAGGCGGATCTATCAGCAAGCATGTCATATTCATACACAGAATCAACAGCAAAACCTTGATTATTTTAGGGTACTGGCAGCATAAGACGGTAGAGCTGGGAGGAGTCACTGTTTAAAGATGGGGGAGGTGAGGCCCAGAGAGATTAGCTGACTTGCTTCAAGTGGCAGAGCTGGGTTAATGGAAGAGTTAATGGTTAATAGTTAATGGTACTCTCATTTCCTAAGTCAACCACAAAACAATAGGTTTTCTTTACTCAATCCGGGCTATTTATTATTACTTAGACTATTTTCTCTGGTTCTGGAAACAGGAATAATTTATACAGAAAACTTCCTCTCCCAGGGATTTATGTGTTTATAATTATACCTAGGACGCATTTTTGGCTGCATATTGTGAAGCTGCTAACTTACTCCCTATTAAAACAGAAGGAATCTGTACTTTCAAGAGAATTTCATCTTAACCCAGGTTTTGTCTTAAGTGAATAAAAAGTGGTGTAAGAAGTAAGCAGAACAAAAGTAGAATTTTTGAAACAGCTAGTGAGATGAATTTGAAACTTGGTATGGCACTGGTTAGGCCTGCAGGGGCTCCCAAAGAGAGCACCAGCTAAGAAATCTGAAGGCAAATTAATCAATGCCAATTAGTTAAAAAAAAAATCTTAACTAAAAGCTCAGCAGGAAAAATGTTATTCTAAATGTTAACCTAGGAAGCATTCAGAAGGAACTACTCAAGAAGAAAACAAAACTTGAAACAAGCAATTCAATTCTCTTCTTTGAGTGGTTTCATGATAAAAACAAAGCAAAATAAAAATGTCCTCACAGAGGCTCTCAGAAATTCACTCAGTGTTTGAAAATGGTCTCTAAGGTATATAGTCCTGAAGACCTTATATTTTAGCCTCAATTGTGGGGTCACAGGTAATAATGATGAGCGCATCCCTGCCTACCCTTTCTGCTCTCTTTGAGGGGGGACCAAGAGAGGGGCAGAGGGAAGGGATTGGGAAGGACAGAAAGGACTGTCCTTTCTGTCTAGACAACCACTAGACACCAAAGGCACTTTCCCCTTCCGGAAGAACTGAAATAGGAAACCTACCACATATTGTGGTAAGAGCCCAACTGATATCAAATCTTCTTTTCTTTCTGCCTAGTTATTTTGGACAGATGGTCATGGAAACTATTAAGATGAGCTATGAGGGGAAAAATATACGCATATACACATATGTACATAAATATAATATACACATAATATACACATATGTAAATATACATGTACATGCACATATAATGCTAAACAGCACAATGACATAAAAAAACCTAAGTAACTTCACAGTTATAAAATAAACAACTTCAAAACATGTTAAAAGTCAAATACACAAAAACAAACGTTGGAAGTAACAAGCACAAGGCACGCACACACAAGGAGCGCCGACCAGAGCAGTGGGCTTCTTTACCTGAAGCGGCACAATCTGTGAACTGTTCCCCGATAGTCGCTAACAACAACTCTTTCCAAACTGTGGACTGGCGTGGGAAAAGAACAAAAAACAAAAAACCAAACCAAACAAACAAAAAAAACAACAACAAAAAATACATATGTATTTTTAGACAATTATCCTCTGGAGCTAAACAAGTCACATTTTCTTTACCTTCACATGCATTTTCCATGCCCGTGTTTGGAGCCCGCGGGCGTAAACACTCACAACAGTGGCATACGTTGTATTGTTTTACAAATAAATTTACACAGATAGATACAAGTGATCCAAAGTCACAACCTTTGTATCCGAAAAACTTGGTGTCCAAAGTCACAAAGCTAATCTCGAGTGAAACCCCTGATGAAGTTCAGAAGAGTGGGGGGAATATGCATTAAAATGACATAGTTTTCTGATTTCTTTACCTCTCACTGATTGAAAATTTATCAACTGGTTATATTTGAATGCTATTAGTAAAAATCCTTCTTTTCAAAACCCTTTCCTCTGTTTATTTTGCAGTTTATAAGGTACTTCAAAGGTTACACAAGTAAAGAACACTTAAAGAAATTTCCGGTTTCTTGAATACTAGAGACTTGCAAATTTCCATTCACTTGAGGCAGGTTGTTTATGCTAAGGGATAGAACTTTATGGGTAGATGTACGCATTTCCCTGGAAGAATTAGGACATGCTCTGGTCTACTTCCCAGCCGTGAGAAAAACTGGAGTCCTTTCTACTTAGGATCTACTAATGCTTTCCAATAAACAGCCAGTATCCACTCACACGTTACTGGAGGCCTAAAAGTTCTTCTAGTTATTCTCCATCGAAAAGTTCTTAGTCCCATTTATCTTCCTTGCAACAGTTCATAGGCTCTGAACTCTCCCAGAACTGAGTTTGAATTCTCACAGGCGGCTTAGTATCTGTGACCTGGGCAGGTTATCAACCTCTCTGAGCATCAGTTTCCTTAGGTGCACAGAGAATAATAACAGGGCCGACCTCCCGGGGTTGTTGTGACCATGAAATTAGTCCACAAATGCGTTCAAAGGGCTTAGCACTGTGATTGCAACAAAAGGACTCAACATTTAAGATTCATTCCATAAATAGCTGCGTGTTTGCTATATGCCAGGTGCTCAATACACATTAACTATAATAAGAGTGTTTATTACTACGTTCTTAGGAGCTGAAAGCAGCCCAGTTGAAGTTTTAACCAAGACGGCAGCAGTTACCCATGGCGACCTCTCACTCTCAAGAAGGAGGATCTTCTCTTCTCTTTCCTAGACCCTCCCCCTTCTGGTCTACTTGTCTGCCGTCGAGAGAGCATCCCTTCCATTTTCTCTCTCTCCCATCTGCAGTCTCTTACACTGTTAGGGACAAAGCTGATGGTGGAGAGAGGCAGTTAGGGGATGGGCAAGTTCCCTCTCTCATTTTGAATTCAGACAAGGTTGGCCCACTGGACTCCCACTTGGCGACAACTGAGAGTGGGCTGAACTGCTTGGGAGGAGGACATTTGTACAGACATGAAAGCGTTATTGTTTGTGACTGAATGTGGCCAAGTGGGCCAACAAGGAGAGAAAGGACACGTGTGCCTTTCAGCCACTTTTCACCAAACGCTGACATCATGATTGTTTCCACTGGAATTCAAAGTCTAGTGTGAGTAAATAAGAGCCATGAAAAGGAAAGCTTGTTCTTCTCGAAATTAAAAACAACTTACATTTTCTCCCTCTCTCATATTCTCTGCTGTCTCTCCTGTTTAGGGGGCCAGAGGAGTTTCATAGGCCCTGTCTGGTTTGTTATTTGCTCCCCTGGTATTTTTTATTATATATGTCAAATAATAGGCAAGTCTTGGAGCGACACACCTTGATGATAGTTTGCATCTTTGACAAATAAATTTGGTCTTATCTTTTGGTTTGTGCTTATAGGGAAATGACTCCAGCTCAAGCATATGAGTCCCTGGAGACATTTGAATTCTTTGAGCTTATCCACGTGAAAGAAACCATGAAAAGGTGGGACTGGGTAGCATTTGCCCTTTCATCCATTTTCAAAGAAGCTTTTTGGTTTCCCAGGGCTTAAGAATAGACCTGAATGTTCATTTTCAGTCAGTATGATGAATTAGAGCCCAATCCTGAGAAACCTAAGTTTCTGAGGCTCGCAAACCAGCCTCCCAGCAGACCATCCCACCAACCAGGTTCTCCTTAGCCCAAGAAGGAGGCCGGGCATAACCTCCCATGAAACCCCAAAGCATGGCGAGATGCAAGGCATCCAAGCACCCCCATTCTCCATGCCATGGTCATTCTCGGAACTGCTTTTGCCCCCAGTGGAAGAGGGATGAGCCTTTGGTGGGAAGGATCCTGCTGCTTACCATGTAAACCAATTTCTACATGTTAATTATGGCTGGTGGGGAAATGACTGCCATAATCAACTTTTCTGCAAAGTTTCTAGGCGTGTAGCTCTTCAGACTCTATGATGCAGTCACACTATTACACCGTTTCCGTAGAGAAACACAATAAGACATTTTCCAGGTGACAGTGTAAGGCAGAAAATCACCCAGGTCAGAAGAGAATTTCTCATCCCCAGTCCTAGTCTGAGACCACCAGGTAGACTGTCTGAAAAGCACAGGATGCTCATCATATGCAGTCAGCAACAGCCCCAAGCTTAGCCAGTCCTAGAAAAGGATCAGAACAAACCTACCGTGCTGTCCTTGGGGACTTTCATCTTCCATACGCCACCCTTTGCATTACTCTCCTCTTCCCTGGATCAAAGACCAACGTTTAAAGTGATATTCAAGAATTAGGTAGTTCTACATACATTTAGTTTAATAACAAATGACATTAAAAACAAAAAACAATGGAGCATTCTTCAATAAATTCTCCTCCAGTCCCTTTATTGGAAACAGAAGCAGATGAAAGAAAAAGGAATGGGGTGGAGATGGGAAGAAAGTGGGATTCAGTGGCTACAAGGGCAGGGGAAGGTGATGGGACACCAGATTCTCATCCTCAAGGAGGTGGTGATGAGGTTGCCTAGACTATCTGGGGATGGACAAATTAATACAAGTGCTCCACCTGTGTGAGGGCCTTTACATTTCAATATCACGTTCATGACATCGCCTCATCTGATTCTCTTATCAACCTTGTGTTGTAGGCCTAATAGGAGACTTGGCTCCTGCAGTAGGCATCTGCTGTATTTCCCTGTTTAGTGTCTGCTCCTTCCTCTGGTAAGAGCACCCCAATTTCCCTTTAAGGAGCTACTTGTCCCCTACTCTTATATCAGACCCATTCTGATTGTGTTAATTTCACATCCTAGCTTCAAAGATGGGCTTATGACCCAGGTTTGCCTATGAGAACACTGCCTCTTTCTAGTCTTGTGACTGGCCAGGGATGGAAAGGTGACCCGTGGTGGGCCAATGAGAGCCAACACTGACATCTGACTGGGGCTGGTGAACACTGACATTGATAACCTTGTAGGGTGCAAGACTGGAGCTTATGAAAGCCATTTTACCACCACAAACAGGAGAGCCTGCCTGCACAGTAAACCAACACAGAGGAAAGCAAAGCCAATCTGATAGAGAGCGCCAGATTCCTAATAACATTTGAGCACCCAGATCTGCCAGAAATCAGCCCTACCAGTGGACTGCTCAGTTACGGGGGCCAAAAAATTCCTTTTTTTTGCTCAGGTTAGGTTTATGTCATTTGCTACCAAATGAGCCAAGATACAGTTCCATTTTATTAATGATTAAATAACTTAGAACAGTTGAGGGATATGATATAAGGACTTATTACTAATTGAGACTCTAGCCTAAGCAAACTGGTTTATTGTCCACCACCCTCATCACACCACCAAGCTATTAAAGGACACCGTCCCCTAGACCCTGGGCCATGATCAGTATCACAGACTTTCTACGTGGCCTGTGAGAGAGATATGTCTGAGGCAATATGATCTTCGTTCAACCATACAATAGATGTGGACAACACATCTGTTCCCCTCATCTCCCCACCAGCCTGTAAGCTTTTTCACTCCACCGTCCAGATCATTATTGAACAAATAAAAGAACCAACCAAAATGATGCAACACCCCATACAGAGACCTGCATCATACCTCAGTGTGCCAACCACGACCTATTTACCATGCAGCTGCAACGGGATGCTCAGCGGCGGGACACTGAGGTACCGACTGAGCATCCTGGAGCCCCTGGTGAAGTGGGCAGTGGGCAGGGGCTTGTTTCATAATTAAGTAACAGCTAAAATTACTTTCCAACATGGGGGAGAAAATTACTTTGGCATTCCAATTTGGCATGAAGTAAATATTTTATGAGGTTCACAGCCATTTCCCTCCCACCTTAACCTCAAATTACACGTTAGACACTTACCAAAGTGGTCGCCTCTCTCCTCTCATTAAATGATAACTACATCTCAAAGGCAGGCTAGTCACAGGAGGAATATTATTGTACACACTCCAGAATATCTTTAAAAGAAAAACACTTTGTTTAATACACCCAGTATTGATTTACTATGCCACTAGATTATAAAATTAATGCACTAAAGAAAAAATTAGATTCTCGTTAAGTTCGATCCATTCAAAATAGATTTTTCTCAGTATTCTTTCTAATTTTCTGCTAGAAAATGTAACATAGCATTAAAGAATGTTCCTTGCTGAAGTCGGGCCAAGTTCTATGCTTCAGGAAGCTATGGATATTAAGCAAACATTCCTATGCCAAGCATCTCCACATAAAACTGAGTAAGGATCTTGCTAATGACTCTTCTGACAGGTAGATGGCATCTAATAAAGCCTGTAGTGCTGGATATATGTACTGAACCATTCCTTATTACAGAGACTCTGTCTTCTTTCTAAGCCTAGAAGGAGTCTGTTACCCTTTGGATTGGGGATGGGGTATACAGGAGGAGACAAAGAGGAATCACCTTAGGTGCTCTGTCCTCTTTCCTTTCTCCTTCTAGAAGGAACTGGGAACAGCTCAGCTGCTAAAGTAACAAGGTGCCCAAGATTCAGGGTGTTATTGACTGTATGTTTGTGTCCTCCCCAAATTCATATATTGAAACCCTAACCCCCAGAGGGGTGGTATCAGGAGGCAGGGCCTTTGGGAGGTGATTAGGTCATAAAGATGCAGCCCTCATGATGGGATTAGTGTCCCTATAAGAAGAGGAAGAGACCTAGCTCTCTCTCCACCATGTGGCAATACAACGAGAAGATGACTGTCTGTCTGCAAGCCAGGAAGAGGGCCTTCACCAGAACCCAACCAGACTGGCACCTGATCTTGGACTTCTAGCCTCTAGAACTGTGAGAAATCAACATCTGTTGTTTAAGCCACCCCGCCTATGGTATTCTGTTATAGCAGCTAGAACTAAGTAAGACACAGAGTGGCTGGTAAACAGAAACAGATTATATAAAAATAACAGAGTAATAGTAACAGCAGTAACAGTAGTAGTGCCAGGTTTTGGTCTATGAACTTTTATGTGTTCATGTAATTTATCCTGATGACAACTTCATTAGGAGGTTCAATTATTATCCTTGTCTTCTAAATAAGGAAACCGAGGCACAGAGACTAACTTGTCCAAGCGTCACTGTTTGGTATGACCATTAGGATTAGGATGAGGTTTGAGGTTATGAGAAAGAAAACCCTTCCCCATTTGTTTGGAATGGGCCATAGAATTGCTACGCTGTGAACTCTATGCATAGAATTACTACAGAAATGAAAAATAACAGGCCGTGTTATTAAGTAAAGTAAAGGAGGATTGTCTGGGTCTCCTAGTGGATCTGAGGAGAACAGCACAAGCAATAGAACAATTAGAAAAATGAATCCTAGGGCATCATGGCACTGGTGGAATGAAATTTTATCTTGAATGACAATCCTTATGGGTTGTGTGAACCTGTCTTGTGTAAAAATTAAAGCTGAATTAATTGTAAGGGCAGCAAAAATAAATGGTAAGATAAACTCGAAGACAAAAACTACCTGACAGTAGATTCATTAATTAGAAATACCTTGGCTCCCTTCTACTAATATGGTGCTAATGTAGGGAACAGCTGAAAATAGATTTGAAGTAACAGTAGGTCCTCAAACAGTATGTGTCCTTATGGAGGTACTTACCCTATAAATGGTTTGTTCTTAGTGCAAAGAATAAGATTATCCTAATATTTCAGTGCTGTCTGTGGTGTGCACATGGACAGGTAAAGCTGGAATGTGAAGCCAGGCAGCCTGATTCCAAAACCTGCGTCTGTGGTTTTTAACCACATCCAGTACGGTGGCTGCCTTAGCTTCAGCCTGGGACTCTCGCTATGATGTGCTAATAACTTGTGAGGAATTTATAGATAAGACTATGCTAAACTAAAAATCTCTGCCTTAGGCAAAACCAAGAGGACTTTGGTGTTGACAAACTTCAAGTCTCCTAAAAGGCATCCCAAACCAGAGCACCTGCCCTCACACCCCTGCCAAAGTTCTCGAATCCTGACTTTTTGCCTAGTGTTTGAAGCACCTTGAAAAAAACAAGAAAATGCTTCTCCTGTTCCAAAGGTAAGAAAAACACTCTAAGGATTGTGCTAAGGTTTGCAGCTTTAGAAGCTCCTCTTGAAAACAAAAACAGACAACCGATTTTGTTAGTCTTGGCAAATCAGACAGGAGGAGATTACAGCCCAAGAAGATACAGTGATAGACTTCACTCTGACTTAATGTACTTATTAAAGCACCTCTTTGCCCGTTTGTGCAAGAACACAAAACAGAAGCGAAATATCTGGTGACACCTTGGAAAAGAGTCCCATTAAAGAAGTGCATGGCATGAAATCGGTCTGTTGCCTTGTTGCAAACCTCATCTAATATGTGGAATATTTGTTAGGTATGTATGATGGTGAAACAGTTCCAAGGAAGGAACTGAGCATTACACAGCTCCTTAGAACCTCTTCCTCCCCTGTGGAAGTGAAAGGGCTGTTTCCCTGGAAGCTTGATAATTCATGATCGTATTCTCTGTAACACATTTTTATTTTAGTTGAAACACCTAAATTTTACTATCAAGAGAAGCTTGTAAGTAGATTTCAAAAGCCATCAGACTTATAATTAATTCCATTTGGCCTGCAAACAGTAGATTGGAGTAAAAGAATAACTAAGCACAATGTTTATTAATAATGGTTAAGTGCTTTTTTCAAAAGCCTTAATGTTACCCGAAGGACAAGGAGAGGTAGAAGATCATTCATTCAGACATTTGTGGACACCAGTGAGGAGCAGGGCACTGTGACCAGTCCTTGGGGAATTGAGCAGAATGCATGGGGGGCAGCCTTTGCCCACGGGGTCCACTCCTTGTTGGGTAAGTAAGTTCTTGAGCATCATTCTGGCACCTCCCCTTGAAGAACTGAGGCAGGGCAGATGGTTGTCCAATGGAGTCTTAAATCCAGCTAGACTCCTACCAAGGTTCTCAGGATAACCTTCACAGGCCACATAGCCCTTGAAACCCAAGTTTCCTTCTCTGATACAGCTATTTCATTGGATACTTTAATGATTAAATGTGAAGGGAAGGTGCGTGGTAGGCCTAACATAAGGAAGCTAGGTGTGGTTAGACTCATCAGACAATGGTGACCACTTGATAAATCCCCAATCTACCCGTTCTGATTGGAGCAATTATGCCCCACCTGACAATCTTCTACTAAATAGATAATCATTCATTATTAGGAAAACTAGCAAATTTCTTCCTCAATTTTCTACTGGAATGTTCTGAAGAAGAAAAAAGAATATACTTGAAAATACTTGAGAAGAAAAAATGCCATGTGGTGACAGACAATAAGGTGTAAAACCCAAAACAAATACACCCAGGAAATACACCTCCAAAAAAACCCAAAGCCCAGGATTTCTTCTGAGGGGCACAGCACGTGAAGCAGGAGAGTATTTTTGAAATATTAAACATTTTTGTTCATTATGTATTTCTAGTTGTCTGGGGCTTGCTTCCCACCAACTGGATCCATGGTATTTACAGGGAGGGCAGACGGAGCCTGGAACAAAGAAGGCAACTGCAGGGCTTACTGGATGTTCTTAACTCACAGCAGACACAACAGGCTGAAAGCAAAATGCTTCAGATTTGCAAGAGCTGGGTACTTGAGAGAGAAAGAGAGAAACGGGTTTTGCTTTAAATTCCAAAAGGGCTCGACTTAAAGTGAGAACCAACGTTTGGAGGACTGATCATAGAGAAGACAAGATGAAGGACAGGATGTTAGGGCCGTTGCCACCACACAGGAAGTAAACGGATACCAAAGTCTGGGTTGCGGAGCTAAATGGGGTTCAAACTTTGAGAGAATAAGAGAGAACCCCCCACAAGTTTGGGGAAATGGAGCAGAGCAGTGTGTACCCTGCTTTCTGGGTAAAGCCCACTGGCCTACGTTTCTTTATTGATGTTAATATTTTTAAGTGCACACAGGCTTCACAGAACTGAAGTGAAAACTCAAACAAGTGGTTGGACTCAGAAGGTCATACACCACTTTAACAAAGGGTGATAAACTGTGGAGAAGCGATGAGACAAAGGAAAAGAGAGTCTGGACACCCAGAAGTGGTGAATTGTGGCAAGGTGATATACGGTAGGCAACGGTTGTTGAGCAAGGTTCGTTATGCAGACTCAAGTGATGAGAAAGGAGGAAGCCTTTACAAAGGGAAATTCATGCCCTAATTTCAGGCAGATGGGAGGAGGGCAGAGAGCTCCTCCTGTGTCTGCTGTTTCTCAGTTGCCGTCAGCTCAAAATAATCCTTATGCTAATGTAGCATATTTGGGGATGGCATAATCTGATCCCCTTCAGAAAAGACCAAGTTTTACATTTGAAGTGACTAAATTACTTTTATTTTGCAAGATTTAATCTCCCCCCTCAATCCTCACTCCACCCACACAATGGCCTCCACTGGCAGCAGACATCGAGGATCACAGGTAATTTGACTTCAGTTCTATTTCTACACAACTGGGTTGTGACTATAAATGTTAATCCCATTTACATGTAACGAATAAATGAAATGATAACGAATCCTGTTATACTCGATATTAAGTCTGCACTAGACAGAACTATGAGCTAGACCTTGCTCCAGGTCCTTTTCTCTGTCTCTTCAGTGAGGAGTCTCTCTCTCTCCCCTCAGCTCCCTCTCTTCACCCAAGTGGTTCACTCTAGGTCATACTATCGTAGGACACCACCCACTGTGGGCTGCCCTTCTGTATCCAGGGGAGTGAGTACTCTGAATCAATCTTTCCATCATTTTCCATTATCAATACTGACCTATAAAACCTCTCTTTCTGAAAGGGACAGCCCTTATTGCCCAAGGATTTGGAAAGCAATCTATTGTCCTAACTTAATGACCTGTAACAGCACCACAACTCCACAACCTTCTGATAAGGGATGATGTCTGGATATGATTGGCAGTACACAGGTACAGAAGGAACATTCTCTTAATTTTAATAGATTGTATATATTTTTTTATGAAGACCTTCTGTTTATGATAAATGATGCTGGGTATCCATTTACAGGAGAAATACGAAGTTTCTGTTTTATGAAAATTTAAGTAAAAAGTCAATTTATGGGAAATACTGGGTAGAACATAGTGCAAGTGGGACACAGTGTGGCAAAATCCTGATGGTGATGACACAAACAACTGAGGTGGGATAGAATGCTGTACAGGAATAAGATTTCAGGGGTGGAATTTTTGGTCTTCTGGTAGCAAGGCTGAAAGATCCTGGGGAGGAGGGAGCCCTCCCTTGCAAATCACATCTGGCAGGTAGCTCTTCATTCTCCCACAGGTAAAATCAGACTTGTTCAGAAGCTGTGTTCTATTCTCTACTGCATCCATTTAGGACATAAAAACACAGGAGAAATGTGGAAAATCTGGAAATGTTTACAAAAGAGTAAAAGTAATCAATGAGCATCTGAGAAAAAACCACATCTAGATGAAAAATGGAATTTTCCAAGAATGGCAGGAAAGTAGGAAATAAATTTAACTCCAAGCAGAGAGAATTACTGTTGGCCTGAGGAGAGTGTCCTCAGCAGGGGTCACTGGGCCGTCTAGAGGCATGCACCTCCTCCACTCCTCAGTCGGTCCTCAGTTAGGAACTCCAAGTGGAGGGAGTTCTGGTCCCAGAGACACGGATGACAGGCTGTTTCCACTGGCTGTTTTGGGCCACTTATCTCTCAGCCTCAGTCTCTCCAGCTCATAAATGGGGATAACAGTTCCTCCCCCACCCCCATCAACATCTCTGATTTGCTGAAGGGCCTCAAACTACAAAAAGACATACTATATCCTTATGTGAAGCAATCATCAATAACAAGATTCCTATAGCTCATCCGAACACACACGGGGGGAGAAACACAGGTAGGATCAGGGATGCGGTTTTCTAGTGCTGACAGAGTGCGAGTTCAAGAATCAACCTACAGTCACAGAATAAGACAGTGGGACAAAAGCATGCCCTCAGATGACTTTAAAATGGGCACCCAGGCTAGTTCTTAAATACTAAGGACTATTCACAGATACTAAGGACACTCACAGGCTGAAATCCCAAAAGTTATTGATAAGTTAAATATGTTTTCATCAGTAGAGGTATGAGCAGTGGGATGATCCAGGGAATAACTGCTTGAAATAAACAGTTCAGAAGTAGTGGTGCACAGTTTTCTGATACGCAACGTGACTGAGGAAAGTACAAAGAGCTGCTCCCATGGAAGTAGGCAAATGATGGCAGATGAGCTTATGATTCTTACTGGGCACTTACTCTGCACTGTTTACTTCCTTGAGCCATTTCATTCTCACAGCCTCATGATACAATCGGTATCATGATTATTTTCATCTTAAAGATGAGTAACAGATACAGAGGAGCTGAGCCACTTGCCCAGGCTAGTAAGTGGCAGATAGGGATACAAACCCAGGCAGTGTAACTATCGTAACACCTTCGTCCACAGGCTCGCCAGTCAACCGGCAAAGCCGAGGGGCAGAATCCAACAACACTTTAGTAAAAGCAGCCAACGTTTGAGGGCTTACTAGCGCCAAGCACTACTAAGAACTACTATATGCAATCTCATTTAACCCTCGCTCAACCTTGAGGGGTAGGCACAGCTATTATCTGTTTTACAGATGAGGAAACTGAGGGGGACAGAGCATCAGATATGACAAAAGTTCCTGACCACTTAAAGCACTGTTTCATTATCACTCCTCTACCCCAGACGCACCCTTTTCCTAATCACTCCCTTGTGAAATTTTAATACCACAAAGAGACTGTATATCTGTTTATAAACTACATGTACATCTGTACTTTATATATAAAAAGAGTAAGATTTTTTTTGCCCCACCAAGAATCAATTTTTGGCCCCAGTGAGAATGTGTTGCCTACAACTTAATGGATCCTTATGCGAGGAGCCTGTTGTGACTCAGGACAGTGGTTCATTTATTAATTTCTCATTCATTCATCCAAGGCTTCAGTATGTATTGACTGAAAGGAACCAGACACAATACAGTATAGTACTGTGTGATTCCATTTATACGAGGTTCGATAAAAGACAAAACGAATGTATGGTATAGAAATGTGAACAGTGGTTGCTTCTGGAAGAGAAGGACCAACTGGAAAGGGGCATGAAGGAACGTTCTGGCATGATGGAAATTTTTTTATCTCGATCTGGGTAGAACTGTTTGCATACCTTTGTCAAAATTTATCAAACTGTACACTTAAGAAATCTGCATTTATTGAATATAAGTGATAAACCAATATAGTTTTTAGGAAAGTTTTAAAGAAAGTATTTCCTAGTATGTGCCAGCCTGGATCCTTTAAATTGGTCCCTGAAGACCCTGTCTAACTTGCTGCTGGATGCCAAGGCTCAACCAAATGCTCTGTTATCATCACAAGGGTCAGGGAAACAAACTCACCCCTTAATCTGACTTTACCAATGTATGCCCTGCAATCCCGAGCAGAGCTCTGATGATCCAATATCATAATGTCATAACGGAGTGGAAAAAGTCTAACCAGTACCTCAAAAAATCAATGGGATCTAAGAACTTCCATACGAGGACAGGCTTTAAAATCAACTGCCTTGAGGTTTATACAATGGCTGCCGGGAAGAGGTAATAAAATCCATAACGTCACACAGGGGAGAAGCGAGGGGAAGCCTTTTCCGGACTCCGAGAGCATTTATCCCTCTGGACAGTAGCCCACATGCTGCCTTGTGACACTGCTTGTATTTGGCACCGAATCATTATTGACAGCAGCACTGTTATTGTGCTTTCCACATGTTTATGTCATTTTCCCAACTAGATCAGAAATGGCTTAAGGTCGGGACTGTGTCTTTACACCCGGCTTCCTGCCCTCAGTGGCTACACAGGGCACCTTACAATCAGATGCCGGGGGCCGCATGACTATGAATACCCAATTTTCTGAACCAGGTATTGGGAGAAGTGTTGGAAAAAAGGATCTTTGTGCTACTTCTGCATGTGACAGGCTGCCTACGAGACAAAATCTAGATGCCAATCGACTGGAATTTCTAAGACATTAGAAGATTTAGGGGCATTGGCTTCTTTTTCTGGCCCTTCTAGAAAATTCAGGACATACAGTCAGTGCAAGTATGAAGCAGCCCTAAAAGCCTTATTCTGTCTATAACAGTGTATTAAACTAGAAAAGGAGAAGAAACTTGATAGAATGTGCTTTTGAAGAAAACAGAAACGTAATCAACTGAATAAACCAGTGTTTTTTTAGAAATGTTCATCATCAAAGTTGGAGAGAGAAAGAACTTTTTTTTTGTGTGAGGAAGATTAGCCCTGAGCTAACATCTGTTGCCAATCCTCCTCTTTTTGCTGAGAAAGATCGGCCCTGGGCTATCCTCTATGCCCATCTTCCTCTACTTTATACGGCATGCCACCACAGCGTGGCTTGATAAGCGGTACGTAGGTCCGGGCCTGGGATCTGAACCAGCAAACCCTGGGCCGCCAAAGCGGAGCATGCGAACTTAACTTCTATGCCACTGGGCCAGCCCCAAGAAAGAGCTGTTAAGAGCTTACATTTGGTGAGAACCTACTGTGTATCAGGTATTCTGCTGAACATGGTATAAATGTTATCTTCTTCGATCCTCACAACAACCCACAGGGGTAAGTGTTATCATTCTACCAATTTTACAGAAATTAAAAGGGTTGATACTTGCCCAATTTAGGATGATAGAATTTGAACGTGAAGGAGGAAACCGGTCTGAGACCTTCCATTTTCAAGCTCAACACTATCCGGCTCTTCCTAGTAACCTGTAACCTTCAACAACCCTGCAGGTGGGTGCCAGTGCCTCTCACAGATGGGAATAGAACTCAGAGAGGGAGCTGGCGTGTGAATGGGGACACAGATAGATGTCCTCAAAACGACACCACAGACTGCCTATTGTGAGGGTCTGCGAAAGGTTTAGGGAGTAGATAAGTTTTAGCAGGTCACCAAGAGAAGAGCAGGCCACCTGGGAGTGTGCTCAGCCGGCCTCTGGGGTAGACCTAGTCAAGGGCAGCTGCACCAAAATGGACGTGAGAGCCGAGGTGAGGGCAGAACCCTAGCGGGGCTGCAGGCACAGTGGCAGCTTTCAGGCTGGGTGGTTAAGGGTCCGACATAGCCCATGTTACTCAGGTGCGTCCCTCTCTCGATCTTACCTGGACTGTGTGCACTGTGTAGATTTTCTTCAGATTTGATGCGCACTCAGCAGCTGTGGCACCAGGGAGGGATCTGAGCAAACACAAGCAAAAGGGCAAGAAACAAGCAAAACAAGCAGTCAGTGTTCATGAGCCAGTCCACAGGGCAGGTCTACAGGTCTTCATACAAAGCAAAGAACTGGGCACTTCTAGGATGCTATTTAGAATTTATAATGTGAAATTCTGACTTTGTGAAGTCATGTATTTGCTTCTCCTAAAAATAAGCACATTTATCCTGTGGAAATTTAATTAATAAAAAAGAGAAATGTAAGTAAAAAAGGTATTAGAAACCTTCAAATCACATTTTAAAAAACACTAAAATAACCTTGCAATAACCAAGCCTTTTGCCTAGGACTTTGGACAAGAAACTGCGCATATTGTACAGATGACAGTGAAAACGCAGGGTCCTGACCTGGTTATAAGTTTGAAAAACTTAATTTCCCGGTGGTAAATATTCATGAACTCCTGAGAAACAGAGTGACCTTTTGCCAACTTTAAGAAAACATGATTACTAGAAGTCAACTTTAGTTTCACCTGAATTTGCATGTGTTTCCAAACCACTTGTCTTTAGAAAATACTTCCAGTTACCTTCTCCGGCTGATTTAATTAGCTCTGCTGAACTTTGCTGTCAGAATACATTAATCTTTAGTTTGCCATATGTTCCACTAGATGGCAACATACTACTGGTTTATTCACCAGGAAAAAACCATGCAATACCACTAGCTTTACCCAGCACCGTCTCCTGGGACTGGGGGTAACAAGACATAGGCTCATAAATCCTTAGCGTGAAGACTCTCAATTCCTGCCACCTTTTCTTCTCCCTAGACTGAATTAGCAGTTCTTGCTCAAGAATGTTGGGGTCCAGTTACGTCAGGCCTAAGATGAAAATTCACCACTCAAATAATGCTTGAAAGCCCCGTGTCTGGTTGTTACGTGAGAAATGAGGCTTGCTGCGAGGAGAAAGTACTGGCTCACAGCTGACCCACTAGGATCTGGAATCTATAAAAGGAATGCTCCTTTACCAGCCACTGACCCTCAGAAACACAGTCCCTAGGGAACCTCAAGGTGTTGAATTTTCTGGACAGTCATTAAACCATTGCACACTAGAGATGTGCACAAAACTCACCTAGCTCAGAGGTAGGGAGGATGGCAAAGCAAAGAACCATGCCCAGATGTGGGGTGGGCATGAGGCACAAGAGCCAGGGCTCTACAGACTATATTCCTGGAACTACACATCAGTGAATGCTCCCTGGTGTCTAACCAGAATATCAAAAATGCATTTCTGGATACAGTTCCCTTGCTTGGAGGTCACTAAGGAAGTACAATTATGGACTAGTTTGGGGGCCAAAAGGGGACCCTCATTGAGTAGGTGAAGTCTGATAAATAAATCTACCCTAAAGCACTGGGTTTACAACTCTTTTCTAGTTGTTTATAAATATGCTGGACATTGTTTTTTTAAAAAGTCAATCCACAATACCCATCATGATTGCATTTTGTTGCCAGACATGAAGCCTAAGATAACTATGTTGAAGAGTGTGGTGAAGAGTGTGGTGAAGAGTGAGGTACTCAGTCAACATCTTGCTATGATGTTAGGACAGTGCCTGGGTCCGCGACACATCCATCAGTCTGTCTGGATTCCCTGGGCTTGGTGGTACTCAAGTATGGACTAGAGTAAATATTAATTACCATTTTTTTTTGTGTGTGTGAGGAAGATTGGCCCTGAGCTAACATCTGTTGCCGATCTTCCTCTACTTTGTATGTGGGTCACCACCACAGCATGGCTTGATGAGCGGTGTAGGTCTGCGCAGGGGATCCAAACCCGAGAACTCTAGGCTGCCGAAGCAGAGCATGCCAAACTTAACCACTATGCCAGCAGGCCGGCCCCTTAATTAGCTATTTAATGCAGGTTTTATGCTGTTTTGGGTTTAAATTGTAAAAGGATGGGGGGAAAAAACTAGAAAAAAATAAAAACAAACTTTTTCTGAATAGATTTTTCACATCAACAATCTATTGCTGTTATATGAAAATCTTCTGGCATTTATTCCAATACTGATTTTTCTTCCTCTGAAAAGTTTAGCTGACCTCTCCATCAAATATGTCCAGCAAAAATATCCCTGGATCACCCAAAGCACACAGGAGAGCATATACAGGGCTCCTTCCTTATGGGGTGGCTGTTAGGGTCCAAAGACAGGAAATGTACTTTGCATTTCTTTTCATTTTTAAAAATTAGTAAAATATGAAATATACAGTTTTAAAGTTACACCTAAATTCACGACAGTTTAGAATGAGTAAAATCTGAATGTTCACCTCGTACAGCATTACATCAACTTAAGCAAATACAGTGTGAGGATAACACCATTTAACCTAGAAAAAAAATCACTGATAAACATTTGCTTTACATGCCTCTGTCTCCAAGTTCTGGTCTTTTACTCATATTCTGCAGGCGACCAATATACAAAGTCATTTAGGTCCTCTCAGTTTCACTGTCCAAATTTTTTGAAGAAATCTAGTTTCCAGAGTCCAAGAGAGGGCTCCAGAACAAAACGACAACTAGGTGATGCTCCTCAGTGTAAGACAACGATGTCAACGGCTAAGACGTGTAGACTGAGTTCTTGCTAGTGCCACAAGCGCTCCTTTCATTCCAGCACTGCATCCTTGCAACCCTCCTTATGCTGCTGTCAATATTATTTCTCACCATTCTATCGGTGAGCAAGCCAGGGCTTAGAGACGTTTGGTAACTTGCCCAAGGCCACAAAAATCTGATTTGAGGGGCCGGCCCGGTGGTGTAGTGGTTAAGTTTGCACCCTCCGCTTCAGCGGCCCAGGGTCCACAGGTTTGGATCCCGGGCGCAGACCTATGCACTGCTTATCAAGCCATGCTGTGGCAGACGTCCCTTATAAAGTAGAGGAAGATGAGCACAGATGTTAGCCCAGGGCCAATCTTCCTCAGCAAAGAGGAGGAGGATTAGTATCAGATATTAGCAGGGCTAATCTTTGTCACAAAAAAAAAAAAAAAAAAATCTGATTTGAATACAAGTGACCTGTCTGAGATTTCCTGCTCTTTCCCCCTGACTACTCAACTGACCAGTCAAGCCATACACACATTTACATTTTTTAATGGGGCTTTGCAGTTGACTCTTGGTGTGTTCTCATCAAAGGCACTGTTTTTAATGAATCCCATTTTTAATACAAGATTGTGTCCATATAACTTTCTTAGAACAGTTTTTCCAATAGAGCAGGGTAGAGAAGGTCCTCACTAAAACCAACAGGATCGCACTCAGCGACAGCTCTATTCTGATTAACATCTGATACTGATGCATTGGTGTTTAAAAGGAAATGTGCCAGGTTCTATGGAAACTCAGTTTCCTAATTTCTTAACGGAGGAGGTTGGATTCAGTGATCTTAAAAGGTTTCTTCAGGCTGTTGGACAGTTTTATGAATATCCAGGTTTCAAAGTAACAAAACAATACCGTAAGAATTTCTGACGGTAGTAAATGGTTGGCTTGGCCCACGCAAGGAACAGCAATCTTCTGCAAGCCAAATCTGATTCCAACAGTCACTGAAAAACACCATAATGCCTAAACCTCACGCCTGGACCTCGGACATCTTTAAGAAGCAAAACTGGGTCATATCCACAGCATCAATTTTAAAAGGGCAAATAAGCTGAGATTATTAAATGATCTGTCTTGCAAACAGGTCAGTCTAAACTGGACTTGCTGATTCAAAGTTGAACCAGAGGCTGTATCGTCTCCTGTTACTGTTTCTTAAAGCAGCAGTGCTGCTGCTAAAGGCAAAGCTGCAGCCCTGGCAGCAGACAGCCACACCCCCTCTTCCCTGTTACTCCAACAGATAGTTGTAGCAACTAGAAGGTAAATGTTTGTAGTGGATTTCGATGGAAGAAACATTTTTACTGGTATCACATATACAGTATATGCTCACATCTTTAAAAAATCTTTTTATTTCATTCATGTTACAAACCTAAACCTCCCAACGGAACCCTAACCAAACCGTCTCTCTGCAGACTTAAGGTGCCATCTGGGGGTGATGCTGCCCCCAAGGCGACATCTAGCAATATCTGGAGACATTTTTGGTTGTCACAACTAAGGGGGATGCTACTGGCATCTAGGAGGTAGAAGTAGGGCTGCTGTGGCACCTCCTATAGTGCACAGGGCAGCCCCCTCAACAAAGAATTATCTAGTCCAAAATGTCAATGGAGTCAATGCTGAGAAACCCTGCCACAGACATGTAACAAATAGTCTCAGAGTACTTATAATGTATTTAATCAACACAGATTCATTGCACACCTCTTTTAGCTAATGGGGATACAGCAATGATCATTCTAGACAAAGCCCTTGTCATGGAGTTTACGTTCTAGAACTGATACCCCTGCTCTCTGAATTCCCCAGACTCCTGAAGATAAAGAAACAATGTTTAGATCCTCTTATTGGCCTGGGAGGGAGGAGTTCGGAGAGAAAGCTGAGAGGAATATACACACTGTCTACGACCATTCCTAACAGGAGATACAGCCAGAGCTGTGGAAAACCATAGAACCAAGGAATCAGGACCTATTTTCACATTCTCTGAATTTGACGCTCCTCTCCCTCAGTATACAGCTGAGGACACAGCAATGGAACAATAAATACCCCCTGGATGGATCAGGTTAAGGAGTCTGAATTTTTCCACCAGGAGTTTCCCCTCTGATTTAATGATATTAATGTAATAATGGCATCTTTTTATCGAGCATGTAATATATAAGAGGGTTTTGCATATATTATCCCTAATCCTTACAGCAATCCTACCAAGCTGGTATCATTATCCCCACTTTACAGTAGGAAACTGAGGCTTAGTGAGCCTGTTTTTAAGTAGCAGCTCTGGGTTCTTTTCCTGGTCTGCCTGGCTCTGATGTCTATGATCCTCCTCTTGCATGAGGACGCCTCTCAGTGTAAACCAGGCAGTCACTGTCAGCATGGGTGGTCACATACAGCACATCTTATGGCGATTCCTCTCTCACCCCTTCTTAGATGATCTCCCATCT